TGTGGAAATTAAGATTTTGGTTGCGAAAACCATACATTGCGTTGTGGATTGTTTAGAGTATTTTTAATGTATTTTCTATGTGTGTTTCTTCGTTGGGTATGTATTAGGGGATACAGATTCTTAATGCTCTTAGGTTGAAACCTATAATTATTTAAGATTTAATCTAATCATCCCCTTCCGATAAGGGCGAAGGAATCATAATCATGGACGAACGCATCTAACAACAGAAAATAAGAGGTCTTGTCTACGAAAAAATAAATGAAGTCACGAAAGAGATATATTTATAAGCGATATCAAAACATTACTAAAAGATGAAAATACCTTTTGCCTCAAACTCATTGAACAACACCCCAAAACTCCTATATGGACTACGAAAAACACACAAACCGGACATACCAATGAGACCTATCATATCAGGGATAGGCATCACCCCACATAAACTAACCGGCATACGAAGCAAAATCTTAACCTCACTCCTCGGCTGCATGACTTTGTCACACATGAAAAATGCAGGTGACCTTTTAAACACTATTTACATTATTAGGAATATTGTCCTCATCTTTGTCGCCATATTTATTACAACGTTTCGGCCGTTGTACGCTCCGGTTTTCTTCCGTGCCATGTTTAATGGATGTCAGTTATTAGTTATCTCCTGTTAATTCACCTCTCCAAGTTCTCCACTGCCTTAACCGGGTATTGAACTCACACTCTTTGGGTCCTGTCACTGGATCGAACCAACGCCTTTATCCACTGTACCATGTGTCCTTTATTTTTCTCGATAGTTAAGGTACCTAAAGTTCTCAGTAGCTAAATACAGGTTGCAACAAATCAATTATTTGTTAATGAAGGTTTAACAGTGAGTATTATTTATTATTATTAACAATATATAGTGTGTTCACGTATTTGAGTCGCCCTCCAGTGATTTTACAGAAAAAAATTAATGTCCACCAGCGTAGAGATTTAAAGTCTTATTAATGAAAACGTGACTTCTGGCAGAAAATTTCCCAACAAGAGATCTTCATTTATTAAACAGAGTAGCTGTACCGTGTTATGCTGGTGGTGTGGCAAATTTGTCTAAAAAGTGGATTGCCAGATTAAAAAGGGTCCGTTTCCTAGCGGGAGGGACATTTTTTCCTTTTTAGTAAGACTTTTTATCTCTAGGCCGGTAGACGTTAATTTCACTGTTTAAAAGAAACGGGAATGTGTAATCAAACACATGTATCCACTAAAAATAACGGAATAAGAAATAATGTCTGATTAAAAAGTTAATGGAATAAGTTCATTCCATAATTAATAAGTTCATTCCAATTAAGAGGATAGGTTAAACTTTCACAGTAAAACGTAAGGTAACGTGTGACAGTAAAATCAGTGATGTGTAACGATGAATATCAATAACAGTGCAGGTGCTTAGCTAAATAGATATCTAGGAACAAGTTCTTTTTAATATCTTAAGCTTAATTGATAAATGTTATATCTAAGTAAGCCAGGTGTGTTCAAACTTTTTTCAAAGAGGGCCAGATTTGATGAGGTCAATATGCGTGAGGGCCAACCAATCTGTTTGTCATTCTTTGAACCATTACGGAATCTTCTTTTCTTTTTTTTTTTTTTTTTTTTTTTTTTTTTTGCAAATGGTAGATTTCCATTTCTTCACATCGATGACAAATAAATGTAAACATGTCATACCAATATCATCCAACTTGTGATATCCGAAGCTCATATAAAGTAATGAAGTTTAATATGTCTGAGAAAAAAAATTCCTGGAAGCTATAATATATTTCAGGTTAACTTTAAACATTACATATTATTGGTAATTAATGTTGTATTTTAACTTTTAACTTAAAAACATATGAATAGGAACGTAACACCAACATTCATCTGATTCAAAAGTAGACACAAGTCCAAGTGTCCAAATATATTAATATTGTCCTGGGTAAGACGTTAAACTACGTCCAGCAGCAAGGCCTCTGATCAGAAGGTTTTGAGGAGCGTGGAACCACTTCTTAATTGCTGGTGTTCCCAGGTCCACCCTGACCCAGGGTGGTAGCCCCTGTTAGAATACCAGCTATGGGCAAATAGTTAACTATTACCAGAAATACTTTTTTAAAAAAAATATTACCAGCAATACAATTTTAAAGGAAATATATTACCAGAAATAGATTTTTGACGAAACAAAATATTACCAGAAATAAAAACTTTTGAGGTTGATATGCCGTAAAACAAAATAAACCAAACCAATCTAAACCAAAAAATACATACTCTATTCATACGAATCTATCCTAAAAATGTTGTTGGCATTAAATAACCCATTGAGGTTGATATGCCGTTAAAGAAAATAAACCAAACCAAACCAAACCAAATATATTAATAACTGATTTTGATCAACACAAAAGAAATTTAATTCACTAAGATTTTAGAATTTATTCATCTCAGATAACAAAAACAAAAAACTTGCCTGCACTAATGTGAAAGGTGATACTGAGATCTGAACTGCAATATATAGGCCAGGTCTGTTTCAAAGGCATTGTCTGTTTCAAAGGTAGTGATTTTAGAAATTAGCCGGAAAATGCCAAAGTCAGAGTCACACCGCCAGAGGGCGGCCACACAGTACTGCTACCATCTTTTGGCAAAACATGAAATTGCATTTCTAAGGTGAGTATTTTAGATACTCTGATTGACAACACTGGTGGACCTTAAGTGATACATTCTATGACAGAGTATGGGAGCCTTATGAAATCTGACTGCTAGCTGTAATTGGCCACCCGGCCGAATTTTGGACATGCCTGACGTAAGCGAATCATTTGATACTAGGGCTACTACGAAGAACAAAAACAGTTTCGATAAAACATCCCAATCAATGATCTATGTTGAGGCTAAGTTTAGCTGTCACATTGAAATTTTCTTGAGTTAATTTCCTTTTTATTTATATTATAAAATTGGTTTTAAAAAATGAAAATGTCCTTTAAATCACTTCCCAAGTGAAATAATTTATGTTAAAAATGACGTTTCATATTATTGATCGTTGATATTTTCTTTAAAAAGATTTCCGCAAACGACGAATGAAATGTGATTATTTACTAAGTAAAAAAAAGAATCTAATTTAGATTTTATTTATCCTTAGGTGACTTTCTCACTTCTTTATTGCATTAAGGCTCTTTGTTCAATCTGTAGTTAGTGGTTTCTCCTCTCCCAAGTGTGAGCTAATATTTCAAACAATTTACACAGCTCCATGGATATAAAATCTAAATGTTATTGGGAACTTACAACCGAAATGATAAAATTTAACGTCATATCTCACGAGAGCTGACAAGAGAATTACGACCAGAAAAAAAAAACTTACATAACGGAGATCTAACGTTACTCACGTATATATTTTCATATATTACTTTCGTGGGTTCGTTCATTGATTTACGCTGCGTTTTCTTTCTCAAAAATTACAAAACATTTAAATAAATTATTGTCTTATTGATAATTTGTTAGACGCCATATTGAAACGGTCGGTATAATGCATTGCCTAATGTTGATATATTATCTCATCTTTTATTTTAAGTGCACCAAACTTTTCGATGAAATCAGCACTTAAAATCGTTTAGTTCACTTGCTTTTGCTAATTCTAGTCTCTTTTTGTAATATTTTCTCAGTATATAACATTCTATAAACTAGAAAAATATATCGATTTTCTGTCTATATCTCTGAGATAAGGTATTTTGATTACTTGCATTATTTACTTTATTCGAACCGTTATCCTCATTTTCATTGCCATATTCACAACGTTTCGGTCGCTGTACGCCTCTTCCACACGTGACACTATTTATTTATTTATTTTTCTTTTGTTAAAAAAAATAATGTCGCTCGGTATGTCTTTCGTTATAGTTCTTTCTCGCCTTAAGTATTTCTCGTTTTTAATTTCCATGCTTATTTATTTATGTCATCATCAGGGTCTTGTCTTTTCTAAGACAAAATTATTGTGTTCATCTATATAAAGTGAGAGAGAAGATTAATAGTTTCACACCTTAAAACCAAACTCTAGCTCAATATTATATATATATATATATATATATATATATATATATATATAGAGAGAGAGAGAGAGAGAGAGAGAGAGAGAGAGAGAGAGAAGGGGAGAGACAGAGAGAAAGAAGAGTAGGAAGAGGAGTATATAAAGATCAACTCTGCATAATGTCCGTTTCTATCGTCAAACCAATTTGGTCGGAAGCTCGCAAGGATGCGTGAAACTCGCAGTCATCATACAGTGTTGATCCCTTTGTCCTCACTACCTCTTTCTCATTCTCTCCTCTCACTTTCTCTCTGTCTACACACGCACACACACACACGCATACATAGATGTATATATTTGTGTGCGTGTGTGTGCGTGCTAGAGTGCGTGCTAGAGTGCGTGTTGATCTGAGAAGAATCTACTAGAGGAATATACTTTTTATTAAGGTAATTAACCTTGAAATGTTTGTTTAGGATGCGAAGTGTCTATCGAGGTTGACAAAGGATGTAACTGTTTCTGATTTTTCTACTGCTGTGTTAGTAAGGTGGTACTAAAAGTTTCTTGGGTCAATCAAGACGAGAACTTTTTCAGCATGTCCTCGTAGTTATGAGAGACTATTTCTCCAAAATGGTTATTGAATTGCTCTTTCCTCTATCGATCCTCATAGGGTACCGACAAGACATTTTCTCTGGATATCTAGCGATAGAAGTGAGGATTGAAAACAGTTAAACTCAGCCAGAATTCAAACGCGCTGCCATTACGCTACCTCACAGTTAAGCTAAAGAAAGAAAGAAAGAAAGAAAGAAAGAAAGAAAGAAGATATAATAAAAAAATAAGAATATTAAATGAAGGGAGGCCTAAATAAAGTAACGCAATAAACAACAAAGAAAAACAAAATATACAGAAAATAAAATATTAAATATATAAGAAAAAGAAATGAAAAAGAAAGAAAAATATTTAGCATAAAGAAACCCTGAAAGAAAAGAAAGGCAGATTCTGTAACAAACTAGAAAGAAAGAAAGAAAAGAAAGAAAGAAAATATCAAAAATAAAAATAGTAAAGAAAGAAAGAAAAAGAAAGAAAATATCAAAAATAAAAATAGTAAATAAAGAAAGAAAAAGAAAGAAAGAAAAAGAAAGAAAATATCAAAAATAAAATAGTAAATGAAGCAGGATGAATGAAGAAAGAAAGAAAAGCAATAAACAATAAAGAAAAAGGAAATATAAAGAAAGAAAATATACAAAAAATAAAATATTAAAGAAATAATAAATGAAAAATAAAAAATATTAAGATTAAACAAAAAAAAACTGAAAGGAAATAAAGTCAGATTCCGTAAAAAAAAAAGAAAAGAAGGAATATGCAATACACTAGAAAGAAAGAAAGAAAGAAAGAAAGAAAGAAAGAAAGAGTCCTTAGGTAAGAAGACAAAATCGAAAAAATTGTTAGGTGTGCATATATGCAAATATGCAAATAGTTGTAGAAGCAGATAAACAGGTTAGGAAAGACAGGAATATATTATTATCAATTAACAAACAAAAGTTAATATGCCTGAGATATGACGGAAGTTGATAAAAACGTAAATATGTGCTTTCATTTTCTTTTGATCGCTATTAAGGATTATTTAGTTTTAATGAGCTTCAGTATAAAAGAATCAGTTGTGACAAACATCAGATCAGCATGCATTTAATAAAATCGACGTTCATTTTTTCTTACAATGAAAACTGTACAAAATAAGCAACATCATCGGCATATTAAAATCTTACTCGAAGGCAAAAACATGTCGATTTTTTTATATTCATAGACAAAGTAATGTCACTGATTGGACGTGTTAAATGTGCTTTGTTAAATTTCAGCACGTGGTATTCGAACTGACCGGTTGAAGTGAGACGACACCCACGTAGATGAGGATGGTGTGTAATTTTATCTTGGTCTCAAGTGTTCCTTGTTTTATGACCAACGAGCTGTGAGATATGCTCTTCAAAGTGAACGCCCACTTGACCGAGAGGAAATAAAAGAATAAATAAATGAAAACTTTTGTCATCAAGTGACAACAAAACCGGACACATGAAATTCCACCCACAGGTGAATATTAACACTCATGGTTGTGATTGAAGAAATCAATTCTGGTCCGCCAATGGAGAGAGACATAGGGTAACTTGAGTAGTTCCGATGCTGCCCGTTCGTATTACCAGCCACGCACTCTCATGTTGAGTAAAGAATTGGTAGTCGAAGAGAAATCATACTGTACACTATTTACATTATTCGGACTATTGTCCGCATTTTTGTCGCCATATTTATTACAACGTTTCGGCCCTTCAGTATCTGTCTATATTTCAGAGATGAGGTATTATGTACACTATTTACATTATTTGGACTATTGTCGTCATATTTGTCGCCATATTGATTACAACGTTTCGGCCCTTCAGTATCTGTCTATATTTCTGAGAAGAGGTATTATATATACTATTTACATTATTCGGACTATTGTCCTCATTTTTGTCGCCATATTTATTATAACGTTTCGGCCCTTCAGTATCTGTCTATATTTCTGAGTTGAGGTATTATGTACACTATTTAAATTATTCGAACTATTGTCCTCATCTTTGTCGCCATATTTATTATAACGTTTCGGCCCTTCAGTATCTGTCTATATTTCTGAGGTGAGGTATTATGTACACTATTTACATTATTCTGGCTAGATGTAACCGTAAATTCTATGCTAACAGTATCTTTTCTCGCACTCCTCGCTTGTGGAAATCTCTTCTGACTCCATGCTTTCCAGCCAATTTTAATCTGCAAAAGTTGAAATGTAATGTCAATCGCTATCTGCGGCTTTACTGCCTTGCTTGGGGTGAAGTCGATTAAAAAATACATGGAACGTAAAAGGAGATTAGAACATAGGTTGATAAATATGGAGTTAGATCACGTAGCGGCCGCTGGGAACAATTATTTAATTGGTGCACAGAAAAGAACCTATAGTCGAGTTTTAAGAATGGGTCAGTCGCCGATGATTAAAATCTAGTGAACGTATACAGAGACAAGAGAATCTGCCAGATAACTTAATAATTGTCGATTTAGCCAATTTGACGAGAGAAGGGACGTAAGTTACGCTACAAACCAACTGTAAAAAGGAAATAACAAAAGAGTCTATGAACAAAACTTTTTTAGTAGAATGTGAATGTGAATTTTTATTAAACTCGTGCTTTTATCTTCAGCATCTGATAAAAAAAAAACTTTTCAAAAGATTATTATTATTTTTTATTATAATTATTTTATTTTATTATTATTATTTTATTTTTTATTATTATTATTATTTTATTATTTTATTTATTATTATTTTCAAAAGATGATTATTATTATTATTATTTCCTTTGATTTCTGGTGTTTACTCATTTCTTTCCTTTGGGATGATGCATGCGGTAGCAAGTGAGAAGCATTCTCGTTTTGGTATCTATTCGTTTAATGTCAGCTATGGTCCAGTTAAGGATATTGAAACGGTGTTGCACCACAAGGACAGCCCTTATGTGTTTATGGCTGATATTCTGGGTTGTTTTTGTAATTCACCTCGTTATTCCGTACCAGATGCACACGCTTGTAGTAGTCCTTTGTTACCTTCTTCTTCTTTTATTGCCTTCTCCTTTTATTCTGTGGCAGAAAAATATGTCACTGGAACAAACGCTTCCAAAAACGAAGAGACACTTGGTCACCAAACCCGGACTATTCTCAACTGTGGACCAAATGATTCAATACCAAATCAACTAAATAAAACAAAATGGTGTCGTGAAGAATATCAGCAAGTCACGACATCATTCTTCACCGTACTTATCATTATTATTATTATTTATATTTTCTTCTTTACAAATATATTTTTCGAATTAGTTTTACTTTAATAAAGTCTTGAAAACGAATGTCTTGCTGATTGAGGTACTGCAGTAAATTGGAACCGCGGTTGGTTTGGTTTGGTTTGGTTTGGTTTGGTTTGTTGTGTTTTACGACATATCAACCTCATTGGGTTATTTAATGCCGACAACTTTTTTTTTCCTGGTAATATTTTGTTTTGTCAAAAATCCATTTCTGGTAATACTTTTTTCCTCAAAAATGTATAGCTAGTAATATTATTTTAAAACATGTATTGCTGGTAATACTTTTTTTCAAAAATATATTGCTGGTAATAGTTTGTTTGTTTTGTTTTTTTTCTTCAAAAATTTATTTCTGGTAACAATTCTTTTACAGGGTATCTCTGGTATTAAAACCCATTTTTACACTTTCATAATGCTTTTTACGTCAGTTTCGGTGTTAACTATTTGCCCATAGCTGGGACCCTAACAGGAGCTACCACTCCGGGGTCAAGGTGGACCTGGGAACACCAGCAATTAAGAAGTGGTTCCACGCTCCTCAAAACCTCCTGATCAGAAGCCTTGCTGTTGAACGTGGTTTATCATCTTAGCCTGGCTGCAGACGTAGTTTATCGTCATACCCAGGACGGCCATGAAAAACAAAAGCACGAATTATAATGTCCTAATCTAATCACAGTCTTGTTACACTGTCTAGTGACTTTGGTTTATTAAATTTTTCCAGTATAACTTGAATTATGTTTTTGCTTGTACTTATCATAGAACTATTCTGTGTTCAATAAAGCGATGCATTTACAAAATGCCGTGAAACACTTGACGACCCACTACTGCAAGAAATACAAGTTAACAAAAATAGAATGACAAAAATGAAGAGAACAATCGATATAAAAACTCTGTATCTCATTCAACAGCCTGAATCTCTTAAATACTATCGGTTTTGCTACCTGACTAGTTCTCATAAGAATTCGATCGGAGTTCAAATCTCGCTTGGTATTTCTGAAATTTAGTTATAAAATATAAGCATTATATGTTCGTACTTTACATATGTTATCCCATGGGCACCTCGAGGTGGTGTAATGGTTAGCAAGCTTGTCTCGCTAAGACTATTACGACTGAGTAGTGAGTTCGATCCTCACTGGGTACCCCATACTTTCGGCCTTGTGCCACATCTGAGCTACGCTTGGAAAATCACTACATATGTTATTCCAATTTCTGGTTTCTCTTCAACATAAATTTAAGTCTTCGAAAGAAAATTTGTTATAGGTTTGTAGCGGACGAACCTTTAGACTAACGACCTATCAGGTTTTGACACTGACAAAATAAGTTTCTTCTTTCTTTTTATGCACCGTGTCCTTTCAGGACGTAGGCGATCATGGCCCTCTACTCCCCCCTCTCCCTTGTGGCTCTCAACAGGTTTTGTGTTTCTGCCAACTCCCCCAGATCACGCTCTGCCATCCATTTTCCCAAGCCCGCCACCTTGCTTTCCCTTGTCTCTTTTTCCCTTTATTCGACATGTGAGTATGAGATTCTCCAGGCCCTCCTTTCTCATCACGTGTACCAGAAATTTCATCTGATTCTTCAATATGTTAAATATAAGCTTACTCCTTGTTTGCATCCTCTCCAAGACCTCATCGTTGCTCGATCCATGATATCTTAAGCATCCTTCTGTAGAACCACATCTCCGCCGCCTTGAGTCTCTTCTTCATCCTTGAGGATACCGTCCAACATTCGCTGCCGTATAGGAGGACAGACTACTGAGTTGCTACGTGACGTCTGTCCTCCTATACGGCAGCGAATGTTGGACAATATCTTTTTATGTGTTTTCTTTGTCACCATAGAAATCTTCCTGTTTCGCAGTACACTGACCAGCTTCGGGAATGTATCCTTGGCCATCCCAGTCCGGACCTCAAGGTCGCACCTACTGTCCTCCGTCAGAATACTTCCGAGATACTTAAACTTCCGCACATGTTTGATTTTAGTATCCCCGACCTGCAAATCGCATTTTGGGCTCATCCTTTTACTGATGACCATGCATTCTATCTGATGATAAATTGAAAAGAATCTAAATATCCTTAAGACAAAACTTCTAATTAATTAATTAATTCCTTCCGGATGTTTCAGTTATTTAACTTTAACTCAACTCGCCAAGTTTTTATCACTACCGCAGTAGCCAGTTATTGAACTCACAACTCTTTGGGTCAACTCACTATATCCAACCAACGCTTTTGTCTACTGGGCCATGTTGGCGATTTGAGTTAAAGGGAGATAACTGAGACATCAGAAAGATGCATGGCACGTGGAGGTAGAACAATCTACCCCGATGGACGAAGTAAAGGGTTCGGTTCGAAATTCCAGTCATCTGAAGAAGGCCGAAGCGTACAACGAACGAAACGTCGTGAATATGACAATAAAGATGATGACAAAATTACAATACTTCATGTCAGAAATATAAACAAATATTTTATTTTTCCTTTTGCAAGTGATACGATAATTTTTCGCTTTATTAGAGAGAATATTACTTGCATTATTTACATTATTCGGACTGTTATCCTCATCT